GATTTTTGCAACGAAAAACGCGAGAAGGTCCCACTGTGCGAACACGTACATTTTTATTCACATTTGCGAGTAAAACAGGGTCCGATCGCTGAGACTATAAGAGCTAGAGACACACAAATTTTGGATACAGGCGCCCTACATGAGAACGCAGTACAATTATATTTAAAAATTTGTGAATCAGTGGAGCAATTGTCGTTGAGTCCAACCACCACAAATTGCTCTCTTTTCTTTATTCTCCACCTTGCATTGTCATACAATAGCTGCACGTGTACTCATCTTAAATTCCAATAAATATCGTATTGAGTAACTTGTTCGTGGAATATAAACTAAATAATAAGATAGTGCAATGAAGAATACACTCGCAAAATTCTCTGAAATTAATTCGATAGCCCGTTTGTTTGTACTGAGGTAAGCAGCAGCAAAAGTTTACAAGCTTCGGAATGTAGAGCTCGGATTTTACTTCACACATCGAATTATTTAAGACGTTCGGTTTTTGATATAGAAATTCATGAATTTTTAATAGCATATAATTGGGTTAAGGGGGCAACGAGTTATAAGCAAGATTCGATTCTGTACAATTGGATTTTAAATTTGTTTAATTATAGCATTGCCGACAATTATGCATTTTATAAAAATATTAGATTAAGAAACTATCTTACCAGCTGTAGACAAATTTTATAAACTTGAAAATACTGCGACTAAAAACATTGAATTCCAAGATATCCGAACACAACACTATAGTTTCTAGAAAATGGAACCCTTGTGGAAATATGGACGGATTTGGAAGTATCTGTAAATTAGTTGAAGAGCGAATTCAGCCTTAGACTAAATACATCATATCGATGAAGAAATATCACAACAGATTGGATGCAAAGACAAATTAAATGGAATAAACGTTTTTATTTGTAGTACGAAGCTACAATAAGTGATGTGCATTCTAAAAAAAGCTAAGCCCATGCCAACCCAATTCCAGTTATAAGTATTTGATAGAAAAGCCGTTTCTAATGCCAGGAGTAAATGCATTCAAGTGTTTTCTTCTTATTCTAACTTAGAGTTTCATATGAACTCTGGTGAATTTTAGACTAAAACTACAATGCTGGTCCCCATATCTATATAAATCCCCAATATTACTCTTCACTCCAGTGTCGAAGCTAACGCCTAATGCCTTACTTATTAATACGAGACCATAAGGGCATCGCCGATTGATAGATACATTTCTTGCTCCTTCAAGTCCGCGTCTCTTTCGGATTGCGATATATAGATGCCGAACTTCATCATTCCGCTCTGCATTCTCGATATGGTGGTCAGTGTGCCTGGCGTCCGCTCCCCGGTGCTTTGGTTAATGCAAATTATATCACAACGTTGGCACACACCATCCACATTGAAGTCAACGGGCCCGATGCGCAGCTGCGTGTAGCTTAACTCGTCGAAAGGCGTTTCCGTGTCGATGACTATATTGGCACGAAAACGATCCACTGTGTCCTCCAGCGGCTCATCCAGCTGCAGGGAGCGAACCGAGGCACAATTGATCAGCAGAAACTGGGCCTGATTGACTAGACTTAGTTGCGTGGGCGATGATTTGCTGCTTGGACTGGATGATCCTTCTGCCGAGCTGCTGCCTTTGGGGGCAACGCGTTGCCTAGACTGGCGCAGCAATCGTAAGCCCTCGACCCCCAGCATTTCCGAGAGCCAGCTGCCCACTTCATCGCCGCAATCATAGCCCTCGATGGGCTGCCTGCAAACTTTGCTGAGGCAGCGCGCCGATGATTTTGCCTGCTCTTGTAGGGACAGCGGAACAGAGACCGTTCGGTCGGATTCGCCAAAATGCAGCTCTAAGTGATCGGCGACAATGCGGGGCTGGATGCGGCACAGCTCAACGCATTTTTTCTGCGTAACAGCCATGCCATTTACATCAACAATCATCCACTGGCGATCGTATTGTAAGCCTTTAGTCGTAAGTGGCCACCGAGTTGGCGTCGTTTCCTCCGCCTTTATTTGCCCATTCATATGCATAGCCGAATCCCCCTTTGCCTCGACCCGCCCAATCTTGAAGGCAGCACACGACTTCACTGGATACACGGCCAATTGAAGCACCCTTGGACGCAATATTCTGGCGCGCTGCTGCAGCACAGCGGGTAGTTGATCTACCTGTGCCTCAATAAAGCTCATTCGCTGCTGCGGCTTCTTCGCCAGGTAGCAGGAGCGCAGCATTTCTAGAACGCGCTCCACATCCTGCTGTCGCGTCATATATCCAAAAGATAAGCGCACTGCTCCTGTAGGCCGGCCATTGAGCAGATCATAATAATCTCCGCAAATGCGACCAGCGCGTTTATATATCGCATCCATTGTGTCCTCGTCCAGTTGCAAGTGTGCCTGGCACGCGCCCACATTGCAAAAGCAGCCGGTGCGCAGCAGAATACGATGCAATGCCGCCATGCAAGCAATTTCTCCGAATCCCACAAAGCCACCGCTATCGGTGCGAACATTGAACGTAACAATGCCGCCCTGTGTGGCGCGATTTTCATAGCCGGTGTGGTTGTAGAAGGTGATCAATGGGGTGCCATTGGCATGCCTCATCTGCTTCAGCTGCTGCTCACAATATTGGGCCAAGGCGTGCACATGTCTCGATATGCGCTCCATTGTGCGAACGCTTGGTTCGCGGGTCGGCGGCACCAAACGCTGCAGCGTTCGAAAGCCCTGTAGCAATTCGACAATGGAGAGAAACGGTAGTGTGCCGTCCTCGAAACGCTCATGGAAAGTGGAACGTGGTTGGTGCTCCATTGTGTGGGGGTAGGCATAGTTGATGGTGCCACCGCCATAGAAGCCTTTGCGCAACACCGCTGCGCCACGACGGCTCACCAGCAACGCACCCACTCCTGTGGGATAGCCGAAAATCTTGTAGAATGAGACGCATACGAAATCTGGACGATGACGCTGCAAGTCGAGGAAGTTGGTGGCCACATAAGAAGCGGCATCAAGCAACACGTAGTGGTTGGCAAGCTGTGGTTGCTCTACAATTAAATCATTGCTCCAAACACATTTTCCCTGTTCACACAATCCGCGTTGTTGCACCTGCTCTATGACCCCCAGAGGCATTTTGTAGCCACTAAAGTTGCACTGTGCAGAGAAGACCACCAGGGAATTGGCATTGCCGGGCGCCTTCGATGCTCCATTGCTCGTGGTTATGTTTTGTGCAATCTCTGCCTGTGTAAGCACATAAACACCACGACACCGCTCTCGGACTAGCGCACGCATGCCCAGCACTGAAGTGTGGTTTTCCTGGCAGTAATAAAAATTGCCCACTTCGGCATTTTTCACTGCCTCTTCAGCAAACTGAAAACTTTCCGCAACAATGCGCAAAGCTGCCGTCGCATTTGCGGTGAAAATCACATGATAGTCATCGGCGTCGGTATTGAAAAACTCCAAAATTCTGTAAAGAGTCACATCAATCACAGCTATCAATATTTTCATTTCGTGGTGAAATTAACGATCTCTACGACTTACTTGTAGCGCACTTGGTCCACATAGTCGCCGGTGGCACGGCATGTGTGAGGATTGCAAATAACATTGCGTTGCAGCTCCTTCGCTGCTGCAGCTACCTGGCTTTCGGCATAGAGTGTGGTCCCCGCATGGTCGAGATAGGTGGTATCTGTATACATACATATGTAATTGAGTGGCACTAGAGTTATCTACTCGCGCTTATCAGTGCACAAGTCCACTAATGTTCGTAACAATAACGAAATAGTAGCTCACCTGCCAGTCTATTGAATTCCTTGTCAATCTGTGCCCGTTCTTCCGCACTAAACTCTGCCTTGTATGTGGTGTGCAGCGACATTTTTGCAGCAACAACTGATAATTATAATTGCAATGGATCACACACAAACACGCTTCGAGCTTTTATATGTTTTTGACTCCGCATTGCACAGCGCGCTTCTATTGCACTCTGATGACGATTGTGCCGACAAAGCGTTGCCACACCGAGTGGGCAGCGCAAACTTGGCAGCATCGGTCAAATATTTGGCCGGAATGCGGCTATCGATATCAATTAATCGAGAGCTGATTCCGCAAGTTGTTGTTTATTAGTTTTGCTGTTGTCGGTGCAAACGTTTAGGAATTGCATCAGGATATAATTATAATGCCCAGAGAGAAGTCACGGTACCGAAGTCGCAGTCGCAGTGCTGGGGGCAGTAAAAAGAGTTCACATACTGGCCACAGTAGCAAACGGCGTGACCGGTCTGTTGAAGCTAAACGTGAGCGTCAGCACAACAGAGATAGGGAGAGGGACAGGGAGCGTGCACACTCAAGAGGGCACCATCGAGAACGGGAGCGGGACCAGAATCAAGACAAACGCCGGCACAAGGACCACGAACGAAGCAGGAGTCGAGGCCGTCATGTAAGAAGTAATAGTCGTAGCAGCAGGCGTCACAAGGAGGACAAGCGAAGGCATCGAACACGTTCCGCGTCCAACTCATCCTCATCATCATCCTCCAGCAATCACTCGAACCCAAACGCAGTCAAGCGAATTTCACCCGAAAAGAATCCAATGAAACTGCTGCAAACGCTCGAGGAGCGTCGTCAGCGCGAGCAACAAGAACGTCAACGCCAAAAGGAGGAGCTCAAAGCCAAGGAGACGCCTGAAGAGAAACGTGCACGTCGTCTACGTGAAAAACAGGCCAAAGAGCAGCGTCGTCGCGAGCGCATGGGCTGGGACAACGAGTACCAGCATTACTCCAACGAGGACAACCCTTTTGGCGACTCCAACCTAACGTCCACCTTCCACTGGGGCAAAAAGCTGGAGGTGGAAGGTTTGTCGAATCTGTCGAGCAAAACTGTGGAGGTGTTGTCGCTGCAAAAGCAGCTGGAAAATCGGCGTGAGCTGGAGAAGGTGAAGAAGCGTCGCGTCGAGCGTGAACTGGAGAGACAGGCCCGCGAAGATGACATGATGCAGCAACAGCGCGCCAAAGAAGCGGTTCAGTTCCGCGAATGGCAACGCCAGGAGGACCAATTTCACTTGGAACAAGCACGTCTTCGCAGTGAGATTCGTATTCGAGATGGGCGCGCCAAGCCCATAGATCTGCTCGCTCAGTATGTAGCTGCCGGCAATGCGGCGCTGGAGGATGCCCTCGAAATGCAAATGCACGAGCCGTACATACTGCTTCATGGTCTAAATATTGATGAACTTGAGGATCTCCTGGTCGACATCAAGGTCTACGAGGAGCTGGAGCAGGGCAAGCACATGGACTTTTGGAACGACATGATCATCATTGTCCAGGATGAGCTGCAAAAACAGCAAAAGATGCAGCAAAGCGACGCAAATGTTCTAAATCAAAGACGCGATGGGATCCATCAAAGTGTGGTGAAGGATGTGGCGGACATATTCCGCGGCAAAAATGCTCAACAGCTGGAGGAGATGCGCTCGCGGATCGAAGCCAAAATAGGCGGTCGTGCCGACGGCGTCGACATTAGCTACTGGGAGAGTCTGCTGTCCCAACTAAAGGCCCACATGGCACGCGCTCGTCTGCGGGATCGTCACCAGCAGCTGCTACGCGAGAAGTTGCTGACATTGAAGCGCGAGACTGAGGCGGGCAGTGAGCCACCATCAGCAGCAGGAGCAGCAGCAAAGTCGCCCCTCACACAAATGGAAACGGCCGCAGATGTCAAGGAAGAGGACGAAGAGGACCAGCGTGAGGGGGAAGAAGAGCCGGCACACGAAAGCGAGGAAACCGAAAATCCAATGCGAGAGATTCTCAACGCTGTGCGCCTCTACAAACTAGGAAACTATAGTCCCACCTACATACGCGAGGAGGATTTCAATGGCCGCAAAGTCGGTGCGAGCGACGACGAAGGTAACAATAGCGAAGACAACATCCTCTTAAGCGACGGTGAAGATGAGCGTAGGCTGCAACGCCAGCGCCTGCTAATTGTTCATCCAGAGCGCGCGGACGGCGTTACGCTCACGCCACAAGAGCTTCGCATGCGCAACGAAGCTCGCAAAGGCATGCAGGGCGACGAAGCCGAGTTCTCCGTGGAGACTGTTCTGGACGCAGTGCCTCAACTGGCCACCGACAAGTATCGTCCACGCAAGCCGCGCTACTTCAATCGCGTCCACACCGGCTTTGAGTGGAACAAGTACAACCAGACGCACTACGACATGGACAACCCACCGCCGAAAATTGTGCAGGGCTACAAGTTCAACATATTCTATCCGGATCTAATGGACAAGTCCCTAACGCCGCAATACTTCCTGACCCCGTGCCCGGACAATGGCGACTTTGCGGTGCTGCGTTTCCACACCGGTCCGCCCTACGAGGATATTGCCTTCAAAATCGTCAATCGCGAATGGGAATTTAGCTATAAGAGGGGCTTCCGCTGTCAGTTCCATAACAACATTTTTCAGTTGTGGTTCCATTTCAAGCGCTATCGCTATCGTCGTTAGTCAATGTCTCAGCCCCTGCCGTTCCATAAACGAAATAAAAAAACCATACAACATACATAGATGCATAGCCTTTCTATTAAACTAATTTCTATTGTGTGGGTTACATAACGCAGCAGTCTTTGATGGCAGCCTCCTGAACCTGCTGGATGGGCTCGCCACGCTGTGCCCGCTGCACCTGCTCCAGAACGCTGGCGTGCTGGGGAAACGCCAAAGATTTGAGCTTCGAGTGCACCAACTGCTCGTCGATTTTCACTTCAAACGAGCCCCGTCGGCCCTGATGGCACACCACGTCCACCTCGGGCGCATTCTCGAGCAAGAACTCGCGCAGCATTTGGCATTGTGCTTTAAAATTGCAGACGCCGCTGAAACAATTCAAATGTTGCAATTGACGCGGAATCCGTTAACAAAATATTGGAGCCAGTTCTACTTACCAGTATTCCACATCGACGTAGACCATTGCCAATACACTTACGTATGTGTGTGTGTGTGTGTGCGCGAAGGAGCTTTAAGCAAAGCCGGCGTGTTTGTTTTCCCCCAAAATTTGTTGACAAGCGAATCAGCTGGGCCGCAAGAAGAAGAAGAACATGCATGTGCAACGTCTACGAAGAGGAGGAGGGGGAGAGACGGAGACAGAGATAGAAATTGGAGAAAGGGACGTTTACTCAAGGCAAGGAAACAAAGAAATAAATAAAAAGCCTTTTTAATAAAATTAACATTAGCCTTACCTTTGTCTTTATTTGATTTCTCCAATTAAATATGTACATACATATGTATGTATGTATGTATACGCCACTCTGGAATTTAAGCTTTTGTCTAACTTAAGGAACAAAAACGGTGTTTCACATATATGTACATACATAGATAGATATAGTATTCAGTCTAGTTATCCAATGACAGTTATACATAAGATACAGTTGGCCGATTATGTAAATGTTCAAAGGAATAGTACGTTTCTACAACAGCTCTGGAAAAGATTCAGTAAATACTTACATATGTAGGTATATGGGCATCTTACTCGTTATAGCATAACTACTCTTGAAAGTGCCCGACCGTATTACCTCGATTTAGTAGAAATTTTAATTGTAAATGGTTTTGATAACAATTGCTTGGATTTTTTCTTTACACTCAATTTTAGATGTTAGTACCCATTTTTGGAAAAGTTTTTCCATTTTTATGGGACAGCGGTCAGAAATATACTGTCTATATCGATTCTGATTATAGACTGGCGCCATGCATCTCCGTTTCCTTTTTACAAAAACTGAACAAAAATTATAAACCCATACCCATACCCATCATAACAAATAGATCTTGAAATACGATACTTTTTTCAGTGTTAAGCTAAATTGCTGATATTACAAGTTATTATTATTATTCAAATAGATCTGCGATTAGGTCATCTACTTATAAAAGCCCAACGCTATCAACATATATTCTATATTTGGTGTCACGCTCTTAAGTAATTGATATTAAGCATTATAGTATTTCAAAATATCTATGTTTTTATTGGTCCCTTTTTAAGGAGTGTGGCTGTTTTTTTAAAATCTTAACCACTTGAACTTATAAAGCACAGTCTACGAGCCCTAACCACTAATAAATGGTACGGCTACGTTTTTTTTCGATAATGCAATTTTTAATGAGTTGTATTTCTTTTTGCAAGTAGGTGATTATTGCCGAAACATATTTATACTTTTTAAAAAGGTCGTTAAATTACCTTTAATTTCATAGCAAAACATGCACACGTTTCTCAAACAATAATGCAAAAAATCAATTTAAATAAGTCAACTTTTATAATACATTTTGACCATTATTAATTGGTACGGCAACAATACTTACTAATTAAACCTGAGTACCATCTTTTTTATTTTTAATAACAGCTTTAATTCTCGTTTTACTGATATTAACTAAATTTAGACATTCGTCAGGAGTTATAAAGTCCAACATTTCCTGAAATTTTAATTTTAATCCAAACAGAGCACATTATGGGTCGTTTTCCCTGTTTTTTTTATGATTATCTATAAGTTTTCTATTGGGCTTGATGATTCCCTATCTAGGACATCAATACCATTCTCTTGAACCCAATTATTGGTTGTTTTTGCGGGGTGTGCAACGTCGTTTTGAGAAGTATTGCATTGTACAAGCTCATATGCATCCTCACCATTGTGATTGCTAGAAACTTGGTTGAACGCCTAAGACAATCTTAGTGATATGCCGCATCGCTAAAAATTATAGAGTGCCACTCCACTGCCGTAGTACCCAATTCTTTCTTTCTCTTGCCCATAGCAGTCTTTTTTTTTATTGGCAAAGCTTTTTTTCGTTTTTCTTTGGCCTAAAAACATCAAAATTATTTATTATGTTCAACAGAATCAGCAATCATACTTTATAGAAGCCATATTAAGTTCGTTTCATTTTTTCTGTCGCGCCCATTCATGTTTTATTGTTTTTCCAATATTTTCAGACCATTTTGCCGCTATATCTCTCACAGTACTTCGCTGATTTTGAAGTATAGTCGACAAACTTCTTTTGTCGCGTGAAGTCATTTTTGAGACACGACCGTAGGCTTAGAAAGCATACGATTTTTTTATACTTCGCCATAACTGTTGCACAAATTGAATTTTTCTATGTTTGAAGCTCGACCTTACTCAGAAACTGGCTTACCTCTTGCCATCGTGCTCAATAATTAGAAAACCTATTCAAAATTACAACTCAAGGGCACCTGTTTTTTATACAAGGTTAGTTTTACAATTTATGTTGCTATTTTACTCTTTTACAGTCTTATTTAAAAAAATAATATTGCCGCACCAATTAATCAAAAATATTTCGTGTATTATGAAGTTGTCTTATTTCAATTGTTTTTTTTTTTTTTTTTTGCATTATTATTAGATAGATATGGATTTAAAACTAATTCATATGTTTGGGCAATAATCACCTAAAAAGAAATACAAGTCATTGAAAGTTGCACTATCGAAAAAAACGTAGCCGTACCAATTAATAGCGGCTAGGGCTCGTATATACAACTGTAAGCCAACAGCGTAGTCTCCGCATGTTAAGGAATTTGCATCTCTTAAAATTCGTAATATTGCTAGTAGATTGAAAAAGCTGACAAGTGGTTATAAATGGAATGGTTGGTTGAGTGATCCTCAGCCTTTAGTGGTCCTCGCGCGCAGAAGGGTTTTGCAGGCGGCATTGTGGGTCTTCAGCGGTAGCTCATCTGAAAATTGTTCGATTGTGGTTTACTTTTGGGTCTCTGCCTGCGCCAGTTTGTTGTACTCACATATTTTGTGCTCGCCCTGCACGGGCAGCAGCAATGGTAGCTGTTCAGGATTGGTGCACACAAATACATACGGACTATCCGATTCACCGTTTGGGAACAGTTCCCGATATTCCTCCTGTGGCAGGCAGCTGTCCACATGCACGCAGCCCAACAGGCTACTTGTGGGATAGTGTGTAGGAAACTTGAGCTTAGGATCTGCAAAGGCGAGCGCTTAGAAAATGTATAAGAGGTTCCTTGTGCGCTTACTATTATATAGCTGACGATAGAATTCCTCCATCTGCGCAATATCTTCGGCATGAGGCTCTTTGGCTGTGGAGGCAATCCATAAACGGCCACGGTGTTCACTGTACCAGACGCGACCCTCGTGCCTGTTCACAAATGTTTTTGTTTTATGAACATTATGCAGGTACGTATGCGGATGGCTACTCACTTTTTAATGCCCGCCACCAGCAGGGACGCCCAAGGCTGGTGCATAGACAGGCACTGACGCATGTCCTGCATTTCAAGCAGTTCCTTGTCCTGCACACGATTGTAGATGCGCTCAAGACCATCATGTGTCTGCTGGGCTGGCAAGTTATTCATAGCCGCTTTATTGGGCTTAAACAATGGTGGCTTCGCCATGTCCAAGTTGGGCGCCAAAATCATCGATGAGCGACCGGTGAGTGTCGATTGTGCCACATTCGCCGTCTTGCTCACGGCTGCTAGTTCGCGCAGCACTTGCTGCTCGTACTCTTGGGTTACGGGCAACTCTTCAGGCAGCTCCCGCCCCGCGAAATCCACTTTTATTTTGCGCTTAATCCGACTGCCATGCTTCATTTCATGCATCTCGCTCTTCAGGCGCTCGTACTTCTCACGTTCTGCATCCGTCAGCCACACCGAGTTCTCCTGCAAAAGAGAGAGCAGCGAAAATTGTAAATTATTAGACAAAGGTCCTTTAACCGGACTTAAGAACTAGGAAGACTTAAGAACCTGAAAGTAGTCCAACTCATCATCGATGACCGTTGTGCGTTTCTCGCTATTGCGATCGTATTCCAGCAAGCGATCACGTTGTGCCAGGGCTTGCTGGAGTGCAGCCACATCCTTGTTAGCCTTGGCTTGTTGTTGTTGTGGTTGTTTCTTCCCTTTTGCATTTGATTTCGAGCTCGAGGCTGCGGACGACTTCTGTTGTTTGGCCATTTGCTGCTCCTCCTCAGGCGTGTAAACAAGTTCGCCACAATATAGACAAGGCCCGCTGCCTTCCTGGAAGCAGACAATGCGCCCACAGCCCATGCAGTTATTGATTAGTTTATGCTGTGAGGCCTGGCAGTCACAGCTGCGACGACCTTTGAGCAATATTGTGTCACCAATAACTTTGCCATCGCTGGCATAAAGATTGGTATATTTGACTTGCTTCTTAGCAGCACCTCCGCCTTGCTTCTGTGTAGTTTGTGGAGAAGATTTCGTGGGCGTCTGGGGGCTATTCCTTGATTTCGTTGTGTTGCGAGCTTGCTTGCCGCTGAGCAACATGCGCCGGCAGTTGAGCAAAAACAATCGATGCTCCTCATTCTCCTCACTCAGCAGGTTGCCAAAGTAATTGTCGAACTCGTAGTCATCTTTAATATTTAATATTGCACTGTTGGGAAGGAAAATAGAGTTCTCCAAATAAAATGTGTTTAGGAAAATTGAATCCGCTATTTACTTACGCCAGCATTTGGTCTGTCACCATGCAATCTAAGCATTTGGACAAGGTATCGCGCACCCATTTTTCCATTTTTGTTTTAACGTATTTTATTTTTTAATATTTCACAAAAAATTGCAAATTTTGAATAAAATTAAGAGTAATTTGTTTGCACCAAACAGCTGTTAATATGTAAATGGTGATGGCAATGACAGTGTTGAAAAGCGACCAGACGGCTACAGCCGGCAGTGAAAGTGCAAATAGCACATGTGTATGTAGTATGGCAACGCCAATGCGAACCGCAAGCATAAAACAAAGCGTGATGATTATTAGTGTGCAATGAAAGCAATGGAAACATTTTGAACACTCTGTGTGTGATGCTGTGATTTGCATTTCACTTTCCGCGCCGTGAAATTCCCGCATTACAGAAACCGAAACGAAGCATTATATTTGCAATTGACAACAAGTCGGTTTACAAGTTAACCATTTCGTCTTTTTGACTTATACATATTCGCGTTGTTCGTAACAATTGATTTACAAATGTGTGTGCATTTTGGCTTCGCGTAGTCATAGTCAGTGGCGGTAACAACAACAGTTATAGCAGCGGCGACGGCTGCTTCCAATTCCAATAAGTACAAATAGAAAGTAGAGAGAGCTAAAGAATTAAACAGGCTATTTCTTAGCCGCATTTAAAGTTTGAACGCCGTTGGCATTTTAATAAATCTATGTACATTCGTACATGCATACATACATATGCATATCAGTGGCAAAAAATCATTGGCGTGCCGTGGATTGTTCCTACAACAACAATAATATCATCATCCACCCACTACAGCGCTGCCAAGACGTAAGAAACGGCAGCAATAGTAGCGACAGCAGCAGCGGCAGAGCCAACAACAGCAACAACAACAACAGCACAGCTGTAGCATTGTCGTCTACACACGCCTTATTCCCTCCTCTCTCTTACTAACTATAGTTAATGCATTTTTATTTTCGTGTGCGGTACTTTTGTGCTAACGGTACTCTCTCCGCATTGTTGTTGTTGTTGCGTGACAGTGACAAAAACAACGCGTGCCACACAAATTGCTAAAGTACTATTACTGTCTATTTTTGCAAATTGCGTGCACACACACACACACACCTTGTATGATAGTGTGGGGGTGTGTGGTGTCTATAAGTCAGTGCGTGCGTATGTTGGAAGCTACTCCGCAGGCATTGAAAACCAATCTGCAGTCAGTTTTTATAAGCGGCGCATAATACAGTATTGTTTTTTTATTCTATGAACAAACCAACTAAAATCACAGCAGCAACAACAACTACAAAAACGAACGTCGCGCACCAATTCAGCTGTGTTCATTTAAGTATATTCGTATTTGTCGTTGCGCGTATTACTTGTTGTTTTTTTTTTTTGTTTTGTGTGTGCTTGCTCTTCACTTGTGTACGTGTTTTAAATTACTGAAAATAACAAAACAATTGTATAAAATGCATTTCCAGCTGCATTGAACAACTCTGCGCATGCGTCAGCTCGTGCGTGTGTGTGAGAGTGTGTGGGTGCTGCGCCGGCAGTAAAGGAGGAAAAAGCCCCAACACTTGCAATCAAACAACAGCTGCCTGCCTAACAAGAAGGAGAAGAAGAAGAAACAGCAGCCGGCAAAAACGTCAGTGCAGCGAACGCAGCCAAAGAGTTGGCAGTCGCTAATCAGCTGAGCCGCCCCCCACACCAAAAATCCAACACCAACCCAACAAAAATCCAACAAATCTAACATCGACTTACGTACTACACCGAGCCAAATAGTAAATAACACACGTAGTCTCACAATGTATCGCATTGGCCCAATTGGACGCAAATCAAATTTCCATTCACGTGAAAAATGTCTAATTGGACTGGTTCTGGTCACCCTGTGCTTCCTCTGCTTTGGCGGCATCTTTCTGCTGCCCGACAATTTTGGGAGCGATCGCGTTCTGCGTGTCTACAAACACTTTCAGAAGGCAGGGCCCGAAATATTTATACCTGCGCCCCCCTTGGCGGCACATGCCTCGCGTGATGAGGATCCCCACTTTATGGGCGATCGTCAACGCTTACAACAAAAGATTAAAGAGGAGCTGGGCGAGATGCTTGACGAGCCACAACAGGCGGTAGCTCAGGCCCCGGTACCTGCGCCAGCTGTGAAGCCAGCAGCAGCAGCTCCGGCGGCACAACAAGAGCAGCCAGCTGGCTTGGAGCCCGAGGATGATGGTGAAGATCTGCCTGAGGAAGCGGAGCAGCAGCAAAAGGCAGCCATGCCTATGATAGCGGCGCCTCTTGAAGGAGGGGGCGGTGCAGTTTCAGGATCTACTGGAGGTGTGGCTAATAATACTCCACGCCTACAACTGCCTATGGGCGGCGGCGGACATCAACCTGCGGATGCCAGACTAGAGGAGAAACGTGAGAAACTAAAGGAGGTAAGTGAGCGATAATTCTTATTTCATACACATTTTGGCAATACATACTGATAACATGTCGACCCTAAACTGAGAGCGAGTCTGCTTTTTGAAGTTACATAAATATACATATGTATACAGAAATCTATATGTACATATATATATGACTGTAATGTTTGCACATATGTACATACACTTATGTTTGTACATACATATGTATGTGTGTAAAAAAGTATTCATTGGGCATGCACAGAACTTTCTGGCGATAAGAAATTTGTAAAATTCTTGGAATCCATATTATTCAGCTTGCAAAATAGTATATTATATACAATTGTATATTAAATAACCGGAAGTCCCGAGTGTATTAAAACACGGTCAGCTAATGCGAAAAGGAAGGACCCCCCTAACGACTCGCGGGGGTTTTCTTCCATCTGAAGATGGGAAGACAATGGTTGATTGTACACCTGATTTGTCAGATGTTTATACTGATTGGTAAATACGGTTTAACGGAAACCAAACTACTTCGAATTTTATAAATACGAGTACAACATAAGTACATAGCCGATAGTTAAAATACTGATCAATCGCTCTCCTTATCGTTCTGCAGATTAGGTCGCCTCTGTCTGATTAACTGCAAGTTTTCTTAGCGAACGTCCACTGTTTTTCTTCATACAACCTATGCACGAAAATAAAATAGTAATCGGGAACATGATGTGAATAACATTTCATTTGCTCTCACTGCTCTCGAGGCTCGAAAACACTTGCTCCATTTATCACATTAGTTTGTCAGTAGCTAGCGATTCTCTTGGCATCTGGCTTTCTATACCACCACTAATACGCTAATACAGTATGCATACATACATACTAGTACAGTGCAGTACGCTTCTGTTCTCATCTCGACAATTATCACTATACTGTTAATGCTTCCTCTACCGTTGAGCGACAATACGCTGTTCCAAAAAGACCAAAATGACATAGACTTGACCAAAAAGAAAAAAAAAAACAATCTGGAAACAGCTTGGTGTAGTAGTTCGATTTTATTAGATAAAAACATTCGCGGCTTATTTACGTGCGTTCCTCGTTAAATATTAATTATGTGATCTGCGTGGAAAACAATAAAAACCCAATACCATATCGTACAATAAATCCAACTTCTGATACTTGATACTAAAAAAATCACATAGTAACATCCATGTTACTAATGCTACTTTTCACAAAAAAATGTATTAATACTCTTTACAGGCAAGTGTAAGAGTATATGGTTTTTGATGTTTATGTTTGTGAATCACCGGTTATAGGTACATACATATAGTATATCCAAATCGCGATGCCCATCTGTTCTTCGCAGTATTAAAACTATCTAATCTTTTTGGGGGACACAAATAACATGTCCGATTATTAACAAAGAGCTCTCATATGATTTTAAACGGTTTTGTTTATTTCTAAAGATATGGGAATCAAATTGTGTGTTGAGAATGTTGTAGCCATTTCTGATGGTCTTGCACCACTTGTGAAAAATAATCACAACATATTTTCTACTGAAAGACAAAAACGTGCTAAAACAGTAGGGTATATATGTACAGATATTCCGGAATGAATGCCGTTTACCGCTACCTTATGTATGCTCTTTTATGTTTTATAGAACAAGTGGCTCTTAGTTTACTACTTCCATTTACAATCTACAGTATATGTTCTTCTAAACCTCTATCTTTAAAGCCAATAAGTATATAGAAAGCTTAAACTGGAATGCAATGAAAGCCCCCTTTGGCCATAAATGGGACAAACTGAATGCCCAACAAAATGGTAACTCACAGCTTAATTTATTCAGACACTTCTGCGTGCAATGGTTTTTCAATGCGTTCTTTAATCGTTCTTTAATTGCCAATTGTATGCATTTGTTCTACTTCTCTTGGTTTTTTATTTCATTTCATTCTGCATTGGTACTTAACTTGGAGTATTTAGTTGTGAGAATATTTAAAAAGGGTCTCGAAAAACAATCGAAGAAATGCACTTGAAAACACTGAAATATTTCAGAAATGGTTAACATTAATGCTTACAAGTATACCAAAATAATTCTCGTAAACCAAAAACTCTGGTTTCAATTGGAACCGATTTTGAACGAAAGTTACACTGTGCAGAAAAAGACAAACCCGCAACTTTCAATTCGAAATATTGTATCCAAAGTTCAGGCAGGCTGGATTTCTAGCACAGTGATGCAGAAGCTGTGGGCCGGCTACTAAACTACTATGATATAAATGGCCGAGTAGAGGGCTAAAAACCGTATATCCATGCCAAGAATTGATTGTGTAGATTGAAACATTGCCGGGGTACTCGTTTGCAAGAGCCCAGAGTTATGGAACTCAGTAAGATTCGCCGATGAGTCTTGATTCCATACTTGGCCAGCTGTTATTATCAAGCAAATGATAATTTACGGATCCAATATATATATATATATATATATATATATATATATATATATATATATATATATATATATATATATATATATATATATATGTATATATATATAAACTTAATGCTTTCATACAAAATGGACAAACCAAATTATAGAAACGAGGGCTTTCCAGAACCAACTATAAAAAAGTATCAATATTTTGCTCCGTCAAGCCTCAGATATTTATTAATCATGTATTATCATGTATATAGTTTCGTTGTTGTAGACCTCTGAACTCCGAGAATAAGCACTGCATGAAATAAGGCAAGAGCTGAACCCTCTATATATGTACATACTAGATAACTCAAATTTGTTGCTAATAACCAGCGACCTGTGCTGGCTTCTACGATTCTCAGTAAATTTATGGAGTTTTTATTTCATGTGTTTCTCTTTCAAGTAAAAATGCATGCATATAACATAGTATATACTATATATACTATATCTGTCTCATTCGTTAACTTAATTCAGCAGCACGATCTTCGTCGCTCATTACAATATTTATTTTGTTTTACTTTCCATTTTTGTTTAACTTTAGTCTACTGACCTCCAACTCGCTTGGCGTGAAGAAAAAAGAGGGCAAAACAGACACACTGAATAATTATTTAAACACAAACGTTAAAATATATATGTAAAAATAGAAAAATAAAAGAACAAAGGCAAAAACTTGACAAACCGCAAACACGAAACACTCGAAAGTGAACGTCGATTAGGAGAGTCTTCATTTGTGTCGCTAGCATTCATTTCGTTTTGTTTCTTCGTTTTAATTCTTTATTTTTATTGCAATTAAGCAGCGCACATTTTCTTTTATTATTAGTGGCCTAATAAATGCACAGAAATGGAGCAAATTAATACAAATTGTTGCCTACATACATACTCGTACATATTTGTTGCTGTGGAAATTCAGTTTTATACCCTGTAGGGGGAAAAGCAGCAACAACAACAACGGCTGGCAGTGTCTATATGTATGGCTATAAAATCCTTGAAAATCGGCATATCATAATGAAACTTTACATACGGACTTATGTCCCTAGGACTTGGTGTCCCTAGGTCTTATAGTCTCCGACATATAGGTGATTATACGAACGGCGTTACGGAAAACTCCATTATTGGGGAAGTGGGGGGAGAAAAGCAATAAAATAAAACAAACTTGCAGTCTCTGAGATCTCGCGCAAACCTCATATGCTCTTCTACATTTCATGTACAGAGTATAAAAATCAATATCTTTTCATCTAAGATATGAATCTGTTCACATGTCCAAGTGTAGCTTGAATCTATTTCTAAACATAAAAGGAAAAAATGGCAAAGAAAATCTTAAATATAATAGAAAAATGTTAAAGAATGCTTTTTTTAAACTAGTCAGCACGATTTTTTTACTATATAATTTGTCTTCCGTTTTAATATTCGATTACTCGTGCAGTTTTGTTGGATAATAAAAGGGTCTATTAAAAATCAACATGATTTTTATTTTATTTTGAGTAGTTTACATTTTTTTTAAAATGGGTTCGTGAACTTCTGCGACATACTACCTCAGATTCATATTACATTATAGGTAGAAATAATTACACCTAATTCTGTTTTAACACGGTAGATTGGTTCCAGAAACAACCGTGTAAAAAAAGACATTGATCATTTGCAAATATAGGTGCTTGGTTCCTTATCTCTTAAGAAATATGTACATATATATATATATATATATATATATATATATATATATATATATATATATATATATATATATATATATATATATATATATATGTAATTTTTAATTTAAAAACCGTGTTATATCAAAATCGTGTAAAAAAAGACCGTGTAAAAACAGAATTAGTTGTACTTATATAAACTTAGCTTGTTGTGTAAAGATAGTGGATTACGAAATAGTTTTATTAACATCTTCTATAGTTTGCCAATGTGCTCTGAAAAAAATATTTTTGTTATCAAAAAAACGCCCAACTGGCAACCGCAAGTATCACATTTTATATTTTTTTGTATTTAATTTCAGTTCAGTATTTGGTAGAAAACAAGGCTTACGGTTTGTTGTAAATCTTATGGCTTTAGTTTTACCAGCATTTAGCCTAATTTTCCATTTAAGAATGTAATCGGACAGAGAACTAAACTACACTAAAAACATTTCTGGAGCAATAAAGAGAAGTATCATTAGCAAATAATAATGTTTTGAAACTTTCGAAAATGTGTCATGAGTGTACATACATCAAGTGTTAGTTTGTTTTATTGTTTTCGATTTTAGATGGACTTGGCATTTGTATCTGCAAAATCGTTGCCTTCCATGCTTATATGAATGGGTATCTATATTATTTATATTCCGATCTTGAGCGCAGATTAGGGATTTAAGTCGAAGGGAAAACATCGATGTTGATGTACATCAATGTCTGTTTGCGATGCATCGCAAAAAACATCGATGTTTTAAAGATTAACTTTCCAATAAAAAAGCTAATATGTATTAGGGAGAAAATCAACAGAGATGATTAAAATGTTTATGTATCAAGAGAGACTATCATAGTATTTTACTAAATGTTGTTAGCCAATAAAGAACTAGTAATATTGA